CCGAGAGTTTAGACTGCGAGACGTTGAGTTCAGAATTTCCTGTCACAACGCCAAGGCGGCATAGCGGGCGGAAAGTAATCACTTTCCTCCCTAGGGAAGAAAATTGGGTAAAACTTAAGATTAAGGGCGACCTCACCGATTTCAATGACCTTGATATATGTTGTCAAGGTCATGATCCCGAGTGACCTTCAGAAGGTTTTAGCCGTCGCTCGTTATTCGTTAAAAAGTTATTAACAAAAAAAGTTTGAAGAATATAGCAGTTATTTTGAGTATTAGAAGGCATAAACGACTAATATGTATGTAGAAATAATACATGTATGAACAAAGGAAAGTCATTTAAAGCAGCGAATTGTTGCTTTCGGTTAAAGCAGTGAAAATTTTTATCCTTTTTATCCTTTACTAGATAACCGTTTTTTGAAATAATGGCAACATTATATCCCCTTACTGACAGTACATCTGACTAGAAACTATATATATGTTATTGTTTACATATATTTGATTGAGCTTATATAATTTAATGTATTATTAATTATTTCTTTAAGTACTTTTATGAGTTTATTTTTATCATCACATATTCCCAAAAACTCGTAAAGCTTCATTTTAAGTTGTATCAGTCTTGCAACAACGATTGACAAAAGATGACTGATAGACTATGAGCGCAAACACGCCAAATAGACCGAATACTACAAAATGTAAATAACCAAGGTCAGAAGCTAGTAATTTGCTCGTAATCTTGCTTATTTACATTTTGTGATATTTATCCCACAATATATGTGCCCAATATATGTAAACAATAACGTTTATACAATACAATCATACAATTACAATCATACAATTATGGTTAAAGCAGAGAATATTTTGTATTCATGCTTTCTAACATGTAAAATTGTATATATATACTTTTCTATACTAATTATTCTCTGCTTTAACAAAAAGACTGTTTAATATAACGATTCACTGCTTTAAATGACTTTTCTTCGTTCATACATGTATTATTTCCACATACATATTAGTCGTTTATGCCTTTCAATACTCAAAATAACTGCTATATTTTTCAAACTTTTTTTGTTAATAACTTTTTAACGAATAACGAGCGACGGCTAAAACTTTCTGAAGATCACTCGGGGTCATGACCTTGACAACATATATCAAGGTAGTTGAAATCGGTGAGGTCGCCCTTAATCTTAAGTTTTACCGAAAATTGATACTTTCCACCCGGCATAGCGGCCGGAAAGTATCAATTTTCTTCCCTAGGGAGGAAAGTAAGCCCTGGCGTGAAATGGCCACTCTCGCCCCTCTCTAGGGATGGAAGTCGAACTTTCCGTAAGTGTTGTGAAAAATATCGTATGCTCCTCGGGTCGAAAGCTTTTTCAGACTGTGATTTGCCGCCCGAGCCGAAGGCGAGTAAAAAGGATAAAAATTTTCACTGCTTTAACCGAAAGCAACAATTCGCTGCTTTAAATGACTTTCCTTTGTTTATACATGTATTATTTCTACATACATATTAGTCGTTTATGCCTTCTAATACTCAAAATAACTGCTATATTCTTCAAACTCGTCTGAAAAACGCTGCTTTCTTCCCTTGGTGCACAATATACTATTAATAATATTTAAATATATTAAAACAATATCTAAGTTGATATATTATATTTATAAATTTAGATATTTTTACATTGTCCATATATCACTTTTATTTTGTTACACAAATATTATTAATAAAATGATATTAAAGGGCTTACAATTAGAGTCACAATTAACTAGGTGTTTGTGTCGATATTCGGATATGTTAATAATTATTAAATATGAATTACAAACGTTTCAGTCTGTATTCAGATCATCTTCAGTGTAGTTTTAAAAGATTTTACATAGTTATAAATAAACGATAATTAAAAATTACAAAGTACAAAAGTATATTATACACAAAACGCATTATTTGCAGTCTAACGCATAAAAAGCAAAGGTTTCTTCTATGGGCATGTCAAAAATTAAAAGTGAAAAATATAGTGATATATGCTCCTTGTAATAATACATAATACATTGCACGTTTCATAGAATAATTAAATCGTTAGCGGAAAAATTCGCCTCGCATTAAACTCGCATTAATCTTGTCATTAATGACTCGATATCGAATTGCAATCGTCATATAGCTGGCGAACAATGAATTTATTGGTTTGCTTGCGAATTATTTGATAGACTGGGAAGATTGCGTCGATTTTGCAAATTTGCTCAAATTTACGCGACCGCGCCGCATCACGATTATTATTTTCGACATGGGCGCGCAATTTTTACGAAAGTAAACAACGCTTTCATCCGGAGAAAATTTGTCGAACGTAATATGTTGCCGGCCGGCAGTATTGTTCCATGATATCGCGATGATTAGCATTCGTCGAACAGCCTCGGGCTCTTGGACTGCATATTTCTAACGCATAATTAGCGAGGTGCTCGCGAAATCACGGTTATATTCGCAATGGGAAAATTGACATAACGTGCTTTTTGTAATAAAATAAAAGACCTGTAATAACACGATCAAGAGATTGTTGAATTTTCAAGCGATTTTGCAGCGGCAATTTGTAACGAATCTAATCGGCGATAACTAGGCGCGCGATTCGCCGAACGAAATATCGCGTTTAATAGCGATCGCCAAGCCTCTATCCAACGGGCAGGCTGGTGGTAAAGTTCATTATCGTCGAGTCGAACGCGGCGATGTAACGCATGGATTCTATTAGTCGCTGAATTACTATGTAAATGGCAGGAAATTATGCAGACCACCTGATAATGCATATTGTTGAGCGTATTTTTCAAAGACAATCGTTTGGAGGCAGCAAATGCTTATTATGTTACACGAATGCATACATAATTAATGCGACAAAACGATGGTAAAACGTAATAATAGTTTTTCCGCATTGTGATGTAAGAGGAGTCGATTTTATTCTGATATAATATATAGAATTAAAAAACTGTTAGGGAAATATTCGCGACCGCGTCACGAAAATGCGGACTACTACAAGCAAATCGTACGAATAATGAGTTGAACAATCATGAGTATTAAAATGCAGGTTTTTCTAAATATTAATTTTATCAGCTTTTATACACTCAGGTTAGACGTCATTACTTTGGACTGCACTTTTTTAGAGGTAATAAATCGCGAATACGCGCGCACTAGTCATATATATGCAGCATAACCGAGGTAAATTTCAGAGAAGCGCAACAAGAAACTTTGCTATAATTCAAACCTCGCTTGATTAACTTGCTCGTTGCAATGTCATCTGCAGAACGATCGCTCTATCTGAGATAGAAACAGAAATTATATATTTCTTGACAGAATTATTGTGCGTACTGCAAGTATAACGTACAATCGTTGGTAAAATAATATTATTACGTATATTTTACATATAACTTTTAATAAATTGATAAATTGATATTTTATTCTTTACAAAAAAATCTCTAACCCCATATCCGCATGTTTGCAATATGTCAAATAACATCAAACAACCGCGGGCGGTGAATACGAATAGTAAAATTGGAGTTGTGGAATAGTTGATGCATCTCGTACACGAAAGCCCCAACCGAGAGATTATCCATCGTCCAGTCGCGATTTAATAACCTCTTTTTGCAGGCAAATAGATTATACGAGTTACGAGTAGTGGTTCTCCGGAACTGCGACAGTCCGCAATTAAGCCGGTTTGTACCGGAAACGATTGTCGGTCGAGAGGTACGGTCAAAGTGCGGCTTTGCTTACTCGCTCGGTAGAAACGCGCGAAAAAGAGGGTCTACACGGCAGAGAGGCGGGTTTAAAGAGACGAGGACGCGTCTACTGAATGTCAATAGGGCTTATTAAAGTCGACACTGAATCTGCGCGAGTTGAGTTTTGCATACGTTCGTTTTACGTCACACGGACGTACGTGGCACACTGAAAGAAAGAATGAATCACCGATACGGATACACACAGAGAATGCGTCATATGTGTGTGTATATTTCCTTCAATTAAAGTACACATTCCAACTCATTGAAACAGCTTTTGGGGTGTTTCGTTGTCACGCGATCGAATAATGATTGACAATATGCCGTAAAGCTTATCGATCGTCGCACTACTTATAATTTTACGCGCAACACGACTTGTGTGGTGGAATCTAGAGATCTCTCGAGAAAAATATGTTGTGCAGAGAGGGAGAATTCGATAAATACGAATTTCAAACGTCAATGACATATCAATTATTGATATATAATTTCGTGGAGGACTCTTCTCGGCGCAGCCGCCCGCTCGCAATATTCCCCCAGCAATCGTTGCATGCAATTCAATTTTCTCGATCTCCCACTCATTGTTCGCTTCATTCGGCACGAGCGCTCCGGAAAGCAAGCGCTCTCGATCGCAAACGAAGAGAGTATACGATCGCGCTCGTCTCGTCGCGTTCAATTAACGCTTGTAGTAATTAACATCTCTAAGTAACACACCGTGCGGTATTTTTCCTCCGCGGAGAAGGACTCATTATATTATATGTCGCGAACAACGCCGTCGCGTCGTTGCCGCCGGTGATTCGTGAGTCCAGCGCGTTCAGGGTAAACATATTACACACGAAACTAGCTTAAAGACTCGTAATTTT